AGTTTAACCGAGTCTTACCTGGATGAAGGTTTCTTGTTGGACAAAAAGATTGGCGTGAACCAACCAAAACACATTGAGAATGCCAAAATACTTATTGCTAATACAGGAATGGATACTGACAAGATACTCCGGCCGTACAGCAGCTCGAAGGGAGAGAACCCAGTAGACTCCTGCGGTACCTCTCGGTAGGCAAACAGGAGGTGGGGAAGATGCCGCTCCCAGTCCTTATGGGACATGGTGAACGTTCGGAGGAGCTGTTTCAGCGTACCGTTAAACCGTTCGCAGAGCCCATTGGTTTGGGGGTGGTAGGGAGAGCTGTACAGCGGTCTGATCCCACACAACGTCCAAAGTTGTTCGGTAAGCTGCGTGCCTTGGTCGGTCAGGATCTCCAGAGGAAATCCTACCCGAGTAAAGATCTGGCAGCAGGGCTTGAGCAACTGTTTCTGCCTGCACATCTCTCAGCGCTACGGCCTCCGGGTACCGGGTGGCGTAGTTGACAATGGTCAAGATATACTTCTTGCCTGTGGGACTAGGCTGTTTCAGGGGCCCCACTAGGTCCACGGCAATACGACTGAAAGGTTCCCTGACTATGGATAGGGGCCTCAGAGTGGCCCTGGGCCTGTCTCCCTGCCTTCTGGCAGACCTCACAAGACCTACAGTAGTCCCAAACATCCCCCGATACTCCTGGCTAGAAGAAACTCTGGGTTAAGCAATGCAGGGTCCGTCACTTGCCCAAATGCCCAGCAAGGGGAATATCATGCGCAATCTGGAGGAGGTCACGCCGATACTTCCTTGGTACTACCAGCTGCCGGTGAGGTATTTGGGCAGCTCACACCTCTGCTCCCCCGTGGACCCTGTACAACTTGCCCTGCTCCCACTCATACCTCACATTTCCCAATCACTTCCAGCCCTCCGTCTATAGGGGTCTAAGGTCCGGGCACTGGCTGTTTCTTTAGCAAAATCAGCGGGGGAATCCCAGGTCAGGGCAGGGACAAGCTCAGCAGGGGGTGGGTATTCGACTCTTACCAGAACCTCGCCAGGTGGAGCGGCAGCATGCTCTCTAGCTTGGTGGCGAGTGCTGACTGGATGAGCTTCAGCAGGGGTCTCTGTGCCAAAAGTGGAGACCAGGACTCCCAGATGATTTCCAAGGAGAACCTCAGCTGGCAAGTTCTGCATTACTCCAATTTCAACGTCCCTGGCCCCGGCCCCCCAATTCAGATGAACCCTTGCGGTAGGAATCCTGTAGACATGGCCTCCCACTACCTGTACAGCCACAGACTGCCCGATCTTGGCCCAGTCTGGTACTAGTTGGGGTTGGACTAGGGCGAGTGTGGCCCCAGTGTCCCGTAATCCTTGGCCCCGATGGCAATTAACATGGGCAACCTGTTGGTGATGTCGGTGATTGTCCGGGATGGCAGCCTGGAGAGGGTTAGCCAATGCAGGTATTAGAGCTCAAAGGCAATCCTTCCCCAAACCACGAGTTGGAACTTTGTGTAGGGTGAAAATGAATTACTCTTTATTAAACACAGCTCAGTATATACAGCTTCAACCCCACCAGATAGCCTGGCACCAGGTTTTCCCCACTCACAACAAACCCTACAACCAACAATACAGTAAGAACTCTATAGTAGTGAAATACTACAAGTTCAAATTACCCTAAACAAACAGTGTAGAATGTCTGTGAAACATATACAGCTTTACAAAGGGGAGAAAACTGAAACAGGGCAAAATGTTATCACAAAGGGACGGTTTGTCACAATCACCCTGCATCTATTTCTAATTCAATACCTGAATCAGCGCTCCCAGCAGTCCAGGATATATCTGAATTCCCTCAGCAGAATAACAAAATACTACAGGAAACAATCTCAAAGGCTCAGCTGGATAAGTTCTTTGACAGGAAAAGGAAAGGAGAACTGGTCCTGGAATCGGGACAAGAGGTATGGCTGTCAACAGCCAATCTAAGATTAACCTGTCCTTCAGAGAAGTTAGGCCCAAAATTCATGGGTCCTTTTCCCATAAAGAGGAGAATCAATGACGTAGCATATGAGCTCATATTACCAGGTTCCCTAAAGATTCATCCTGTATTCCATGTGTCACTACTCAAGACTGTGCTCTCTAATCCCTTCCCAGGTCGGGAATTGGGGCCACCTGAACCAGTAATAGTCAATGGCGAAGAAGAATATGAAGTTGAAACCATTGTTAACTGCAGGAAGAGGAGAAACCAACTCCAATATCTGAATAAATGGAAGATAATTCTTGGGAGCCAGAGTCTAACATCCATGCCAAAGAGTTAATCAAAGCATTTAAACGCAGGCATCCAGGGAAGATGGCCCAGTTGGGCATCCAGAGGCTGCCCTGAGGGAGGGGGCATTGTCAGGGATCCTGTCGCCGTGCAGCAGTGCAATGGTGACGGATCCCCTCGAGTCACGGCGGTGCGAGTGCGCAGGTGCGGGAGCGTGCGGCCGCGCATGCACAGTAGCGCGGAAAACTCGCACATGCGCAGTAAGTGCACACGTCATGTCAGGCGGGCTTATTTAAACCTGCTTAGCAGTAAAATCACTGCCTTCTGGTCTACAACGTTCCTGCATACTGTATATTCCTAATACCTGTATTCTGCATTACCTGACTAGAAAGAACTCCGCCTGCACTGATCCCAGCTATCCCTGACCATTCGCTTGCCTGCTCCTTTTGTACTTTATCTGCCCGCTTGATACTGACCCGGCTTGTTTGACTCTGCTATATTATGCTGCCTGCACCTGACCTACATCTTGTCAGCTGCCATTCTCACCTGCCGCTGCACCCATGGCTCTGCATCCGGATCACCACCATACCTGTCAGCAACCGCATCCACGCACCGGTGCTCGGTCCCAAGTCCGCATCCCACAAGGCAGGTGAGTCCCACCACCACTGGCAAGTCCATTCCTGACAGTACTCCCCCTCCCTCAAGGAGCGGCCTCAGGATGCTCCAAACAGTCTGTAATGGCCCAAATGTTCCACCGCCTGTGTTCGGCAACTGGCTGGACATCCCACTGCCGGAATCAAGCGATTGGCTGGGTCTCCTGCTGATAGGCCTATCTTTTTGTAGGAGACTGCAGGAAGGCAGATTGGTGGACACAGGATTTCCAGAAGCAGGCTGGGCATCAGGAGCTGGCACGTCAGGCTGGGCAGCAGGCAGAGGCACGTCAGGCTGGGCAGCAGGCAGAGGCACGTCAGGCTGGGCAGCAGGCAGAGGCACGTCAGGCTGGGCAGCAGGCAGAGGCACGTCAGGCTGGGCAGCAGGCAGAGGCACGTCAGGCTGGGCAGCAGGCAGAGGCACGTCAGGCTGGGCAGCAGGCAGAGGCACGTCAGGCTGGGCAGCAGGCAGAGGCACGTCACGCTGGGACAGCAGGCAGAGGCACGCCACGCGGGCAGCAGGCAGAGGCACGCCACGCGGGACAGCAGGCAGAGGCACGCCACGCGGGACAGCAGGCAGAGGCACGCCACGCGGGACAGCAGGCAGCAGGCACGCCACGCGGGGACAGCAGGCAGAGGCACGCCAGGCGGGACAGCAGGCAGAGGCACGCCAGGCGGGACAGCAGGCAGAGGCACGTCAGGCTGGGCAGCAGGCAGAGGCACGTCAGGCTGGGCAGCAGGCAGAGGCACGTCAGGCTGGGCAGCAGGCAAGGCAGCAGGCACCGGGCCATCGGGCGGAGCACCGGGCCATCGGGCGGAGCAGCGGGCACCGGACCATCGGGTGGTGCAGCGGGCACCGGACCATCAGGCGGAGCAGCAGGCAAGGCAGCGGGCACCGGGCCATCAGGCAGAGCAGCAGGCAAGGCAGCGGGCACCGGGCATCATCAGGCGGAGCAGCGGGCACCGGGCCATCAGGTGGAGCGGGCACCGGGCAGGTGGAGCAGCGGGTACCGGGCCATCAGGCGGAGCAGCGGGCACCGGGCCATCAGGCGAGAGCAGCAGGCAAGGCAGCGGGCACCGGGCCATCAGGCGAAGCAGCGGGCACCGGGCCATCAGGCGGAGCTGCAGGCAAGGCAGCGGGTACCGGGCCATCAGGCGGAGCAGCGGGAACCGGGCCATCAGGTGGAGCAGCAGGCAAGGCAGGGGGCACCGGGCCATCAGGTGGAGCAGCAGGCAAGGCAGCAGGCACCGGGCCATCAGGCGGAGCAGCAGGCACCGGGCCATCAGGCGGAGCAGCGGGCACCGGGTCATCAGGCATCGGGTCATCTGGCTCGACAGTGGGCACCGGGTCATCAGGCATTGGATCGTCTGGCTCGACAGCAGGCACCAAGTCATCTGGCATAATAGGACCATCAGGCTGGGTAGACACATCAAGCTGGGTAGGGTACACTGGGTCATCAGGCATCAGGGTATCAGGCTAAACCACGGAAGGTGGGTTCTCAGACAGCAGGCTGACCGGTTTGGATACTGGCAGGATGGTATTGGTTGGAAAGAATTTTCGCTTTTTCCTGGTTTTAGTTACTGGAGCGCAGGTTTGTAAGTGGATAGAGCAGCTGTAGGCAGAGAAGAGCTGAGGGATGGAACAAAAGGAGGGAGCAGTTGCTACAGAGGACTTCTTTACAGGGTTAAAGATAGGATAGGTGCAGTGAGTGGGAGCAGGGGATTGATATGTGGTAGTTTAGCAGAGTATACTGGGCTGTCACTGGGGGTGCTGTCGGGGATGCAGGAAGAGTGGCTTGAGCAGAGGAATGACGTTGCAAGCTGACTGAGGCTGGGTGCAACAAGTCTGACCATGTCTGCAGTATGGGTTGAACAAAGCTCAGCTTACACAAAGCCTGTCTGGTCAAAGACTACACTGCGTTTATACAATCTCTTAGCACCTGTTGTGAACATGCAGAATAACGCTCCAAGAAGTAATCCACATCATCCTCCAATAACCACACCAGGGACTCTACCTGGTCGGCACTAAATGGCGGCAAAAATTCATCCTTGCATTTTGGGGTACCAGATGAAGCCAACTCTACACAAACGTGAATCAATGGTTGCACCTCAGAGAACTCTGTGCCCTGATCTACTAGGCAATGAGCAATCCTTATGCTTTCTAGTAGTTGATCCCGGGTATACTCCTTCAGAGTCTGATAAGCATAATCTCTGTCATCAAAGACTAGCAGAGACAAATACACCACCTCATCAAGATGCATCCTTCCCAGCAACAATAAGCCTAGATGGGTTCCCTGTGCAGCCACTTCTGGTCAGGAATGGCCTTGGTGTTCTGTTAGGGATCCGGGTATGACCAGAAATGTGTGGACTGACACAGGGAAACACAGGCTCCAGGTATAGTATAAACAATACAATTTATTAAAGACTAAACAATACATAAACACAGTGCAACCAAACCTCCAACAGATAACAATAAGAACAATACTAAACATAGTCGGGCAGGCCGGGTCGGTAGCAAACGGGCAGGCAAGGTACAAGGAGCAGGCGGAAGCGTAGTCAGGAATAGCCGAGGTCAGGACAGGCAGAGTTCATGCAGAGTCAGGATTAAAGCAGAATCAGGATCAGACAGGATGCAGGTACAGGGGCTCATGGGAAACATACACCAAGTCCGCAAACGTGCAGATAATGAAAAAACCCGTAAGTGAATCACAAAAAAAGTGCAGGTGTAAAACACCACACGAAAAAGTGCACTTAGGGGTGTGCTTTGTCCTTCCCCTGGAGGGGAACTTCAGGGCAGGCCCGAGGACCCACACCCTCCATCCTGTGAGAAAACACACACATAAGTAAGAAAAGTGACAAAACGTGGGAAGTGAAATAAATTAAATAAATAGAAAATAAAAAAATGGTCGTGCCAGATAGTGCACAGACCAGGCCCTGAGGCCTGTAGCAAAAATTGCCCTTAACTTAGCCAGAAGGCCTGGTCCTAAGGGCGCTGTGCAGGAAAAGTGGTAAATACAGTGACCATGTGCCATTTTCACACTGTGAGGTCCCACACCCAGGTGTTACTAAGGGCACCCCTGAAGCGACTACTCAGGGGGCACTGGTTTGCGGACTTTCTGCCTTCCCGGCTCCTGGCCAGACAAGGTAGATCCGCTCGAATCAGGAGGAACTGGGTCCTTCCAGTCTTCCCGGGAGAATTACTCACGGGCCCCACCTACTACTCGTGGGCGCCACTCTTTCTGTTCCTGCCAGTACTAGCCGTCCAGACCCCCATCATTCCAGCAGGGGTACTATACAACCAGCCATCCCCACAAAGCTAGAATGGCCGTGGAGCACCCCCACTTGACACTGATAAGAACAGATACTACACTTGATCTTAGCCAAAAGGAAACATACACCAAGGCCCTGATCACAGGCCTGGCCATTCCTTAAATACACCTGCTGTAATCAGCCTCAGGTGATGGCTCATTGCAGGAGTGAGCCTCTGGTTGCTGAGAGCACCCGCTGGCCAGCCCTGGTACTGCAGCCCACAAGGCAGGTGAGTCCCACCACACCACTGGCAAGTCCATTCCTGACACTGCTGCACCTACGTTCCTGCACCCACACCTGGCTTGTGTCCGGATCTCCTGAGTCCCCAGCTACCCACCGACAGCTTCAAAATCTACACGGCACTCCTGCCACTCCTGGCTCTGCGCCTCTGTTCCCACTTTCAGGGGCTCCGAGCGGGAGTTGTAAGAGGACGCCCTCTCTCCACATCAGGCTCCCCAACCAGGTATGTGACACCCCCTTTAACCATTAGCCGCCCGGCCAATGGCCGTTTGGCGGCTTCAAAACTGTCTCTGCACTCCGGGTGCACGCCATTTGGCATGCTCCCACACATGCGCAGTTTGCGCTAATGCAGAGCGGCGCAGCAGTGCGATCTGTCACCGGCCGTGTACCTCGGACATGGCCGATGACAGATCCGAGTACCGGCTCCCGTTGCTGGTACCATGTGACCTGCTGTGACCAATCACAGCAGGTCACATGACAGTTGTATACAATGGATGGCTTCATTCATGATGCCATCCATTGTATACTAGTGTCTAGCTGTGAATAGTCACAGCGATCACATGCACATGTCATGTGATTAGCTGTGACCAAATCACAGCTAAGCACAAAAAAAAAAAAAAAAAAAAAAACTGAATGAATCGATTTCATTCAGGTAAATGCTTGCTTATAGCAAAGTAATTCTTTGCTATAAGCAAATTGTGTAAAAAAAAAAAAAATACTGATCACTTCCCCAAAGTAGTACAATGTTACTATGGTAACATTGTACTACTTTGGTCATAGTAAAATATGAAAAAAAATCTAAAAAAAAAAATAAAAAAAAAGTAATACAAAATTAAATATAATAAAAAAAAAATATATATATATATATATATATATAGATTTTTTTCATACTGTCACCAGTCAGTGTCCCTGTTCACCGCCATGCCAGTTATATGATGACGCTGTACTGCACTGGTGACAGTATGTAAAAAAAAAAATAGTGAAAATAATTTTTTTTATTTTTTCATTTTCCGAACAATTATGACAAAAAAATACAACTTCAAAAAACTCGCCATGCCTCTTATGAAGTACGTCGGACTGTCTACTCTGCAAAAAGGGGTCATTTGGGGATATCTGTACTATTCTGACATTCTTGGACCTCAAGAAATTAGATTGCCTTTGAGTACTTCAGGATTGATCAATATTCAGATCTATACCATAGTTTGTGAACTCTATAACTTTCCTACAAACTAAAAAATACATCCTAATTTGGGTTATTTTCACCAAAGACATGTAGCAGACTACATCTCGGCCTAAATTTATGAAGAACAATTATTTATTTGTAAACTTTTATAACAGAAACAAAGAAAAATGTGGGTTTTTTTCAAAATTTTTGGTCTTTTTTTGTTAATTTAGCAAAAAAAAAAAAACCCCAGCGGTGATTAAATACCACCAAAAGAAAGCTCTAGTTGTGTGAAGAAAATGATAAAATTTTAGTTTGGGTACAGTGTTGTATGACCGCGCAATTGTCATTCAAAGCGTGAGAGCGCTGAAACCTGAAAAATGGCCTGGGCAGGAAGGTGTAAAATTGCACGGTATTGAAACGGTTAACAAGGGGGCCCCCAGATCCCGCCCCCCCATGTGAATGAGTATGGGGGTACACGGTCCCTCACTCATTCACAAAAAACAAAAAGTGTAGTGCGAAAAAAGACAGGACACGCTCGTCACCCCCCCCCCCCCCCTTTCCTGACCTGCCGGGCTGTATGCTCAGATAAGGGTCTGGTATAGATTTTGAGATTTTTTTTAAATGTTTAAAACGAGGTATGCCTGTACTAATAAAACCTTCAGGACACTGGGACCTGTCCCTCCATATAAGTCATACTCCCATATTGCCTCTCACCCTTCTACTTCTGCTAATATCTGGAGACATTTCCCCAAATCCTGGGCCACCATCTTTTTCCTTTGATCAACAAACCCAGCACTCCCTATCCTCCAACAGCAGCCACAATCCACACAACTTATACTATACCTCTTCTTCCTAGAACCAGCCTCCCCTTTTCCTGTGCCCTCTGGAATGCCCGCTCTGTGTTACAAACTCACCTGTCCTTGACCTTTTTATCACAAACTCCTTTAACTTGCTTGCAATTACGGAAACCTGGCTTCATGAATCTGACTTTCCCTCTCCTGCTGCCCTCTCCCGTGGTGGTCTCCTCTGGGCTCACTCTTCCAGGCCTAGTGGATGGAAAGGAGTTGGAATCCTCATCCCCTCAAAACACTTTTCAGGTCCTTCATTCACCTCCCTCTCCTCATTTGAAGTTCACTGTATTCGTCTATTCTCTCCAGTTTCCTTAAGAATTGCTGTGATCTATCAGCCTCCTGGACCGGTATCAAGATTTCTTGTTGACTTCTCTCCTGGCTGCCCTTCTTTCTCTCTTCTGAAATTCCCACAATCATTCTTGGTGACTTCAACTTCCCTGGTAATCTTAGGCTCTGAAGTTTGGAGATACCGTAGTAGGAGTGCTAACTACGTCTTTTGACTTAAAACAATGGACACATGCTTCTACTCACTCTAATGATAACTGCCTCTACCTTGTATTCTCCTACCCATCACTTCTTGCAACCTCACCAACTTTCCTTTTCCTCTCTCTGATCACTCTTATTAGCTTCTACCTCTGCTTGGCTTCCTCTTCCTTGTCTTCCAACTACCAAACAGTTACCCGTAGAAAACTTCGCTATCTTAACCCTTCTCTTCTTTTTTTCAGCAACAAATTGTCTCTATGACAAAATCTCAGCCCTGTCCTGCCCCAACCTGGCCATTTCTGTATATAACAGTTCATTGTCATCCACTGTGGACACATTGGTCCCCCTCACTACACACAGAATTAGGCCCTGACCTGGCAAAGAGACAATACCAGATGCCTCAAAAAACATAGCCGTGCCAAAGCACAGCTAAGCACAATAAAAAAAAAAAAAAAAACCCTAAATGAATCGATGTCATTCAGGTAAATGCTTGCTTAAGTAATTCTTTGCTATAAGCAAATTGTGTAAAAAAAATAAATAAATACTGATCACTTCCCCAAAGTAGTACAATGTTACTATGGTAACATTTTACTACGTTGGACATAGTGAAATATAAAAAAATAAATAAATAAATAATTTTTTTCATTTTTTCATTTTCCCAAAAATTATGACAAAAAAAAATACAACTTCAAATAACTCGCTATGCCTCTTATGAAGTACGTCGGACTGTCTACTTTGCAAAAAGGGGTCATATCTGTACTGTTCTGACATTCTTGGACCTCAAGAAATTAGATTGGCTGTCAGTACTTCAGGAATGATCAATATTCATATACCATAGTTTGTGAACTCTAACTTTCCTACAAACTAAAAAATACATCCTAATTTGGGTTATTTTCACCAAAGACATATAGTAGAATACATCTTGGCCTAAATTTATGAAGAACAATTATTTATTTGCAAACTTTTATAACAGAAACAAAGAAAAACGTGTTTTTTTTTTTTCAAAATTTTCGGTCTTTTTTTGTTAATTTAGTAAAAAATAAAAACCCCGGCGGAGAATAAATACCACCAAAAGAAAGCTCTAGTTGTGTGAAGAAAATGATACAATTTTAGTTTGGGTACAGTGTTGTATGACCGTGCAATTGTCATTCAAAGTGTGAGAGCGCTGAAACCTGAAAAATGGCCTGGGCAGGAAGGGGTAAAAGTGCCCGGT